GGTGCCATTCCCACTCAGGGTGGGTCTTCCTACCTCAGTTAACCCAATTAAGAAAATCCATCTTGGACATGCCCACAGGCCAATATTCCCAGGCGATTCTAGATTGTGTCAAATTGGCAGTTAAAATTAACCATCCCACTTACTGTCCCTAATCTTGTTTCCTTACCTCTATTTTACAGGGCTGAGATAGGATTAAATATGGGCAAATCAGCCAGAGGTAATTGGCTCTTTTCTCTCTCTTCTCTGTTGTAATTGACTATTTGGCTCCCATCACAGATGGTAGCACCCAGTGTCTTTCTGTTTTCTCTCCTCTCATTTTTGTCTTGCTTTGAGCAGAGGTATTATCTACAGGAGGATCACGGCTATGGAGCAAGGAGGACCGGGGCATATACAGCATCCACACTCCATGCTTGCCTGGGCAGTGGAGTCCAGTCTTGCTGCTACCTTCTGCTGACTGTTCCTAGAGATGATGGGTCTCTCTCGAGACTGGCAACCTGCATGGACCTTCTCAAACACTGCTGTCTTGTTCCCCCATCATTGGCCCCTCCAGATTTCACTGGCAAGAAGACTGCCACAGAGCCAGCCTAGCAAGTTCCCATCCACTCATGTAGTATGGGGCTAAATGCTAGAGGTACCGTTTATTCTTACTGGGATATTGCCCAGTCTCTGGGGAAGGCAGGCCATACTGGGACCAGGCTGTTTTTCCTGGCTTTCTTGTTGATGCTCAAGGAACCATCTTCAAAAGCACTATGTGCTTTTCTGTGGTACAGAATCAAGAGGGGTCCAATTTTGCCATCAATCATATTTAATAGCCCATGCCATTAATGTAATTTTGTTATTGAAGATTCCTAAATCTATTCAGTGGCTTACACAAGACAATTATGGTTTTTCAAAAGTACACGCATGCAATCAGATATCACCTTTAATTAGAGCCATTGCAATTAATGTGGCCATTCCAACTGTAATATTGTAAGTCTCATTAAATATCAGTTGACTTGGCATTTCCTTCATTTAAAGGAAAATGACATTGCATCCAAATGAGGAGTTGCATTACTTGATGTCTTATGTCTGCAAAGAAGAGGATGCAAAGAATAGTGGGGAAGGAAGCCATGAAGGGTTCGAGCATTTTAAACAGCTTTGCTCAGTGCCCAGCTCAGCTCTGAACTCACATGTTCGATGTTTTAACATCTGCCTAAAGCAAGGTTGTTTGAGTACGGGGCTTTTGACCTGAGTAACAGCTAGGCCTCGGGGCTCCACACAACTTCCCTTGAAAGTGAGGGCAGAGTCTGCAACTGTTTGAACTGTTTGCAGCAAGTTTCCATTGTGACGTCCGTACCTCTTTCATGGAGTGTTTTGCTTCTAGATTGAAAAAAAAAAATCTGCTGTGTCGGTAGATGGCTGCAATCACAGCACTTGGGAGACAGAGGCAAGAGGATCAGAAGGTCAAGATTTTCCTTCTCAGATATGTAGGAAGTTTGAGGCCAGCCTGGGCTACATGAGACCCTAACTCAACAAACAAACAATCAAACAGCAAAAAGCCTTAATGTGAGTTATTTGTTAAAAGTGTTTCCTTAGAGGAGTCTATGGACAGTGGAAACATCTCAAGTTCAAATGCAGCTTCCTATTTACCCAGTTCTTACAAGGAACTGGTATGGCCTGATTAATTTGTGTTTTAATAATGACACATAGTAAAACAAACAGACATAAATACATAAAATAGACTCAATAAATGAAAAAAATTAGTATCTCCTCTAATCTGTCGTGGTATTGTTTGTATTTTGATAGAACTATAAAACAGAGGAATTTTCCCTTTTTTGGAAAGGTAAAGGCCTTGGTTTCTGTTCCTTGGTCGTGTGCTGTCTGACTGTTCTGTGACTTGCCATTGAAGAGCCGGAGAAAGAGGCTGCTCTGTGTGAGGGGAAGGTTTCAGCCACGGTCACAGCTTCGTGGCTACAAGTATAATGCTGGGCAAGGGTACAGAAAGGAACTACAGAAGGTGAATAACGACTCCTCCAACAATTTAGAATGTTTGAAGTTAATTATCCTACTCTGATGACTGGTTGTCTAGACATTTTAAGTATTTATTTTGTGGTGTCCCCCACAGTTCATAATTAAAGACCTAAAGGACGGCTCCCGGAGGTTTTTACTGGCCAGACCAGAAATTACCCACACAACATACTGTGCATTGGCAAAACACAGGAAGAAGTTGAATTCCTTTTTTTTTTTTTTTTTTTTTTTCCATGCAGTCGGATGGGAGGCATCGGCTAGAGTATTGACCATCTTTGAATAGCAATGGCATTAATGAACCCAACTGACATCCATAAGACTTGGCTGAGGATCTCAGCCTGGGTCTCAGTTTGTCAATGGTTTCTAAGAGACGGGATGGGAGAGGGACAAATCCGGAGAGCCAGGTGTTCAATAGCCTTCAGAGCCCTGATGTTGTCCCTGTCTTGGAGTAAGGGGCACAGAAGGAGACCATGGGGTGATGCAGATGTGTCGGAACTGCTCATTCCTGTGGTCGCTTATTCATTTATTCGCCAGTGAGTGATTTCACCCCGTGCGCCTAGTGATCCGAGGCAGAGCTTGGCTTTGCTACTCAGATGTGCGACTTTGGGTAAGCTGTTCATCCTCTGTGATATAAGTTTACTCATTTGTCAAGTGAGAATGATAATTGATTTTTGCATAACTGGTTATTGGGAAAGTGAGTCATAAAATCTACTGAGCACAGTGCCTGGAACACAGTCCAGGCTGCATCCCATGGACTTTGATGCTTGTAAATATTGACAGTGAGGTCACAGATACCAAGGTAGTATGAAAAAAGGTACAGTTTTGTCCACTCCTGGTGTCTCCAGTTTTATGGCCATTTCTGAATCCTGGGTTCCCAAAAGAAGGCTGTGGAAGACTTCAGTGCATCCTGCTGCATTAGACCTTGTCTTTTATCTGCAAGCTCAACACATCCTCCAAATAGAATCTGGTAGTGCAGAAGAAAAAGCAAAGAACTACAACTTTTAGGCAGGTGCAGGTCTTCAGATGCTCCAAGCTCTCAGCAAGGTCAACATGCAGGAGATGGTTGAGTCATCCAGAGACCACATTCTTCTGGGTATACCCTTTAGTTCGAGGGGTGGCTGCTTCTCCTGGGAATTTGAACTTTCAGATGAAGA